CAACTTCTTGCATTGCCCTTGCTAGTAGACAAATCATGCATACATATATTTTCCTTTAAACTGTACGATTTTTAATTTGGAAGTTTATAACAAAGGAGACCACTTTTCTCTGCTAAAGCATGGAAATAGTCGTTACTGCATGTACCTTCTTCTCAGGAACCGTTAAAGATATTTGGACGAGTTTTGTTTAGTTGTGTAATTAATGGCCGCCTATATAAACGACCTGTTTTTGAACATTTTGAACGTTGAATATTGATCGTTTCTTGAAATTCGTTTAAAAATTATGGATCTTTCTTCAACTTCGGTAACCTCTGAAAATTTTAATCGTCCAAAATTTTAAAAAAACGCTTCAGCTTGCTTCCATAACGGAAAATCAGTAATGTAACGGGGAAAAAATTGAAAATATCTTCATCGGATTCAGAGAAAAATGTACACGAGTGTCACAGGAGAAATCTTTTCAGGAGCACAATTTGAAAATCCTCCGTCAGTAAAAAAGAGGGTTGGTGCTTTTGACTACGATTACTAAAATATCGGTGACAGCGTTTTACTTGTCCGAAGAAATACAACGCAGTGAAAAATGAGTAAAAAAAAATCAGGTATTGTTGGTTGTGCCACGCCACACTAGTACTCCAGTTCAGTCTGAAAAGTTTTGGTATCGGAGGAAATTCGCTGACCGCAATTCATTGGAATACGTCACTATCGGCGAGCAAGAAATAATCTTCTGCTTTAATTATTAATTATTAAATGGGATTTTCGAGATTCGGACGCTTTTAGAGAGACATTACGAACTAACACAAACAAGCAGGAATTTCACTGTATTAAATAGCCACGTCCTGAAGAAGGGAATGAAGTCGCCATTATTTACGTATTTTTTTAAAATTAATTCCTAACACTGGTTTTTTCACTAAGACCCAATACAATCTAGGAATAACATTCAATTAAATGCTCCAAAAGGGGTTTCATCAAACCTGGTAGCAAGTGCCCGTGAAACATACCCAGTTAGCACAAAATATTTTGAAAATATTGTCACCTTTATCAAAATATTTTCATGACAATATTGTAATTAAAATATTTTCAAAACATTTTTCAAATGTTTTTAAAACTTTTGTAGGGAATATTTTGAAAATGTTTACAAAAAGTATTTTTAAAGTAATTCAAAAATATTGCAGGTAAGAATTTTTAAAATATTCCTTAAAAAGTTTTGAAAATATTTTAAAAATAGTTTTAAGTTCTCAAGTTAGTATGTGGTGTAAAATACACCAGTGTATTTAGTGTAAGTGCCTAGTACGTGATATCGAAAAAAAATAACTCGAAAAAAAGTAAAATAAATAATAATAATGGGAAAAAGAAAGAAGCCTGAGAAAACACGGCGTTAATCAAAGCTATGATGAAAGTTGAGCCGCGCACTGACGCAATGCATGCTATAACATCCTTGACAGGCATGATTTTAACTCATTATACCATCAGTTCCCGGTGGCTAAGTGGCAAAAAGCTCGGCTACGACTCGCGCGGTTCGGGTTCAAGTCCACACGAGGGCGTCCGGGTATTATTTACGCCTCTAAACGTCGCAGGACTTCAGGTAAGTGGTTTATAATATTCAACACTTGTGTACTTGTGTAATTCATGTTTCAAATGTAATACATGTGCAGAACTATGAGAATGTCGGTCCATGCCTGTACTTCCACGTATACTTGATAGAGTGCGTTGGAAATCCCAATGGGAGCCCGTGAGCGTTCCCATGGGGACCTTTTGGGAATTAGCCATGGTTCCAATGGGTTCCAATGGGGATGGATCCGAACCCGTAGGTTCTTTACTGACTATCCCCATTGGAACCCATTGGAACCCATTGGAACCATGGTCAATTCCCAACGGGTCCCCGTGGGAATTTGCTACGGGTTCCCATCGGGATTTCCTACGGGTTCCAATGGGACCGTTTTGACAGGGAGGACACATCACATCTTCAAATTTGCAAGGAATTCCATTCAGAACTGGCTGAAATTGAAGAATTAACGACACTTCAAGAGCTCTACTTTGATCGTCTGATACCGGCTCTATAGAGACTCAAATTGAAATAAAACATCAGCTGATAGCAAACAAAGGTTACCAAGGAAACCAAGGAATAGAACTTTAATAGAAAACAGTTTAGTGGAAAACGACAGCGTAAGTAGGGCACTTACTTTCATTACCGTTTATAAGTAAACGGTAAATGCGACTTACCAAAAGTCTATACAGTTCTTTATCCGACCGAAATGGACAAAATCACAAAATTTGAATCAGCTAACGCAAATTTAACAATACACTGAAAAAAATCCTTGACCAGCAGGCCACCGACTCACTTGGGGAACCAGTACACTGGGAACTTCCCGATTCCCCGGTGTGCCAATCCGCCTCAAGTGTTTATGTCTTTCGAAGAAGACCAAGAGAAAGCTAATTTAATTTTGAAGTTGCGCAGCATTGTCTTTTTTTTTTTTTTTTTTTTTTTTTTTTTTTTTTTTTTTTTTTTTTTAACAGCCTACGTAGAAAATCATTCTAAGTCAATTCTTGAAAACTCCCGTGATTTTTCTTCTCTTTGCGAGGAGAACTTCTTGAAAACTTCAAGTAATGACATTCATTAGTTCTTCCTCAAAATCTATGTAATAAAAGGATTGGACGGATTTCGTGACCTTGAGATTCCCGGCCCCGTCCCTCGGTCCTCCCGTGTCCTACGCTCTTGAATTTTGGTCAGCGTGATCCCGGCGGCCGGCTGTACCGTCCCTCCGCGGGTTTCTCTGGTCCGACCCTCCGGGAGGTTGCTGCAGCCCTCAAGGGTTTTTCCGGAAAAACTGCCACCGCTCCCGCCCCGTTCGTCTTTTTGGCTCGGGATTCGGCACCCGGGCGCCCCCCGGCGGCCGGAGCTTAACTTCGGAAAATTACCGACCGCGACATCCCCGGAGGGGCGCTGCGCCCCGAAAGGCTGTTTCTTCCACCCTTACGTGTTAATGGTCACTTCGTACCCTGTCGTTCGTCCCCCGGACTCCCGGCTCCGTCTGCCGGTGGGCCCTGGGTCGTGGACGCCCGCTAAGATCGGGTTTGGGGATCCCACCATCCGGGGGGGCACGGGGGCTCTTTTGGTGTTTTCGGGAAAATCGTCCTGGCTTCCTCCCCGCCGGGCCGATCGGGTCCGCGTTTGGACCGGCAATTCTGCCCTTCGTTCCGCTTGGGTGGTGAGAGCGCCCCCCGGGGAGCCGTAAGGGGGGCGTCGCGGGAGCCCCCCGGAAAGTTGGTGCTGACCCGTTTTCTTAGTGGGTCGCGCGAATTTTGGAAACCGAAGGCCGGATTGCTGTTGCTATGGTTACCTATGCTCATATGACAGCATACGGCTCGAACGCGCGGTGTCGCCGGATCTCCCTAGATAGTTATAGGTGTTCACTACTGCGCTTCGTCAGGAAACCGGAATCTGGCACTTTCGCGTTATTTTTCTTCTTCAGCTCTTAAATGTTCGCAGTTTTGTGATCTTCTGAACTCTAAATAGTAAAAGGATTGGACGGATTTTGTGACCTTGAGACTACTGTCCTCGTTCCGCGGTCTTTTCGTCTCCTGCGCTCTTGAAACTTGGTCGGCGTGATCCCGGTAGTCGGCTCTCCCGTCTCTCCGCGGGTTTTCCCGGTTCGACCCCCCGGGGGATTGCTGCAGCCCTCAAGGGTTTTTCTGGAAAAACCGCTGCTGCTTCCTCCTCCTTCGTCTTTGCGGCTCGGGATTCGGTACCGGGACGCCTCCAGGCGGCCGGAGCTTAAGTTTCGGGAATTTACGACTTCGGCTCCTCCGGGGGGGGGGGGGGGGGACTGCTCCCCGAAATGCCGTTTTTTCTACCCCTCCCTTGTCATGTTGACTTCGTACCTTCCCGTTTGTCCCTCGGGCTCCCTGATATTGGTCTCAAAATTTAGAAGTGCTCCACTTCTTACCTTCCCGTTCGTTCTCCGGGCTCCCGGTTCCGTCTGCAGGTCGGCTCCGGGTCGGCGACGTTCGATAAGGTCGGATTTCGCGATCCCTCCATCCGGGGGGCGCTGGTGCCCTAATACGTAAAACTGTAGACGGTCCGCCGTGACCTTGAGATTCTAGGTCCCGTCCCGCGGCCCCCCCCCTCCCGTGTCCTACGCCCCTGAGGATCCACCGGCGGGACCCTTGCGGCCGGGTCTCCGGTCCCCCCGCCGGGTTTTCCGGTATGACCTTCCGGGGGGTTGCTGCAGCCCCTAAGGGTTTACTCGGGAAAACCGCCGCCGTTCCCGCCCCGTTCGTCCTTTCGGCTCAGGATTCGGCACGCGGGTGCCCCCGGGCGGCCGGAGCTTAAGTTTCGAGAATTACCGACTCCGACCTCTCCGGAGGGGCGCTGCGCCCCGAAGGCCGTTTTTTACCACCCCCGCACGGAGTGCCCCACTTTTTACCATCCCGTTTGTCCCCCGGGCTCCCGGTTCTGTCTGCGGGTCGCTTCGGGTCGGCGACGTTCGGTCAGGTTGGCTTAAGTGATCCCTCCATCCGGGGGTGCGCTGGTGCCCTCCGACGGTTTTCGGAAAAATCGGCCTGGCTCTCTTCCTGTCGGGCCGATCGGAGCCGCGTTTGGACCGGAGGTTCTACCCTTCGTCCCGCGTTGGGCGGTGCAAACGCCCCCCTGGGGTCCGCAGCCGACCCAGTTTCTCAGTAGGTCACGCGGATTTTGGAGACGGAGGGCCGGATCGCTGTTGCCATGGTTATGCTATACTCATATGACTGCGCATTACTCGAGCGCACCGTGTCGCAATATCTCGCTCACCGGCGGGATTGTTTTGAGCTCAGTCCGTCGGGAAACCTGAATTCGGCAGCCGCGCATCTTTTGTTTTTACTTTTCATTTTCAAACTCTGGTGTGGGAAGCGTAGCGGTCGGGGACTTGAGGGTTACTGCGGCAGTTCAATAATTTCATTCATAAGAAGAGAAGAGGAGGAAGATTTGAATTGCTCAATCGCGGAACATGGCCAATATTCTTGAAACTTAATTTTTTCATCGTTTGTATGTTCTAGCGTCGCATTGCCAAAAAAAAAAAAAAAAAAAAGAAAAAAAAAAATTGAAATCAAACGCCGAGTCCTGCAATCTTACGTTTCAGCAGTCGCTATTACACTATGCGATTGCAATTACTCCCCAAAATAAATTAAAATGTTCCCAGCTACGTTCACTAAAATTGACCGCGATTGCAATAATATTCACCAAAAGTATCTTCCGACGGTTTTGGGAAAAATCGGCCTGGCTCCCTTCCAGCCAGGCCGATTGGAGCCGCGTTTGGAGCGGAGGTTCTGCCCTCCATCCCGCGTCGGGCGGTGCAAAGAAACTTTAATAGGCATGCAATACTAAATTCCCCATGGGATTTTGGCTGCTGAATCCGAACATGGATTTAGCTTTTTTCCATCATGCACAGATTTTCCGGAACACTGATACTTCTCTGGAAAAGCAAGATTTGTCGGGAAAATTTCTATTTTTGCGGGGAACATATAGACCCAATAGGTGTTAGGTAAAAGACGTTAAGAGAGAAAAATAATTTGATTTTCATGTTTTATTTTTTTATATTGAAGACAAATTATCCATACGGAGTGTACAAGAACTTCGAAATCATAGAAAGAAATCACATCATGAGTTGAAAAACGCTAATTCCGCGAGTTTAAATAATCGCGTCAAACACAGTTCAGATACCGTAAAACGCATGTTAGCGCCTACATTACAGATGGAATATTTCACGCATTGCGCGTTCATTGGTGTTGAGAATTTGTAATTTGTCGTTGTAGGGCCTACCGCGAGGCGCACGGTGTCCTAGGCTTTTGCACTCTTGGACTCAGTAACACATTTCTTGTTTCAAGCCTCCATCAAACGGTCCATCGCAAATATTTTCCACTCCTCGATCCGAGAAATCTTTGTTTCGCAATGTTGTCTTTTCAGTTTGCTGATCAAAAGCATCAATCACTGATAAAATGGGAAGCATACAAGAAAATTTCGCGAACGACAATTTATCCATTCCAAATATTCTTCAATGTACTTAGCACAAAAATAGCGCAAGTGATCTACTTAATGGGAGCAATGGTCCACTTTTAATTTTTTTAGATTTGTTTGAAATTGTCCAACCCACCTCGGATAGATTTATGAACGCTGATATCGAACATCACGTCCGTTTTTTTTGGGTTAGGTATTACGTCAATGTTCTCCGCAAAAATAGGAATTTTCCCTACAAATCTAGCTTTTCCAGAGAAGTATCAGTGTTCCGGAAAATCTGTGCATGATGGAAAAAAGCTAAATCCGTGTTCGGATTCAGCAGCCAAAATCTCATAGGGAATTTAGTATTCCATGCCTAAAGCATGGCATTCCATGCTTAAAGTTTCTTTTCTAATCCTAATATCGAGGTTTTTGCGGACCAGTGCTCCTATTCGCCCATATAACACCATGTATAACTCATCCGGTTGTTGTGCGCCGGAAAGGAAATGAGGAAAACATTTTTCTCGGATACTAGTGGCTGATTCTCATTCAATTTTTGCCTCTCAATCCGAAAATGATCTTATTTTTCATCTAAAATCTTCCAAATTTTTGAAAAATAGATTTTTCAGCTCAAAAAAAAAATCCCCTCTATTTAGGATATTGATTTTTTCGAAGGTTTTGGAAGAGAACGAGGATCATTTTCGGCTGCAGCGTCAAGAATTGAGTTGGAAAAGGTAACTCCACTTGTTGTGTGAGAAATAA